GACAGTTGATGCAAAAGGTAAAGAAGGTTAAATTGCTAGAAAAAGAAAAAAGTATTTCCTAAATAAAATTACTGTAAGTAATATTTTTTTTAGACCGTATATGAGAAACACAATCAGAAGTTTGAAATGCCTATTACGGTCGACGCTGGATCTTCGTTGCTTAAATAATTCAATATTGAACGAAGATACAGCGTCGACCGTAATAGGCATTTCAAACTTCTGATTAAAATTACTGTATTTTTCTTGTTTTTTTTATTGTTGTTTTTATTTTTTTTAATAATAATAAGTTTATTATTACTGTTGTAGTTTTAATGACTTGTAAGTGCGCTGCTTTATCATGTCCCACAAATTCGGAGAGGAATCTTTTTAATCTGTTTAAGTTTCCAAAGAATCAACAGTTAAGAATAATGTGGAATAAATGTATACAGGATACTAATGATGATTATCCAGGAGAAGAAAAATATCTTTGTGAGGTAATCTTTTCGCTATCAATTAATCTTTAAGTATATTGCAAAATAAAATTCTTTTAATGAATTCCTTTCCGATAATTATTATTTTAGTTACATTTTGACGAAAATCAATGGAAGCATTCCAATCGAAAACATTTGATATCATCTGCAGTTCCAACTATCTCTCTTCAATTTCGTGAAAAAGATTACATAAAAAATGTGTGTCACGTTTTGCAATCTGCTTATCAAGACGACATTTTACCATCAAAATTTTCCATATATTGGATCATATTTCTTGCATTGAGAAAGAAACTGAAAAGGAAGCACAGAAACTTTTAAAAAAGTTGGGTATACAATTGGTTGAATTTGGACTCCAAAAAGCTCGTATTCAAAGGAAGGAAAAATTATTAAACTTTATTGCTGAGAAAAATAAAATGTATGACAAAATTTAAAAAATTAGGTTTGAATAATCAAAATATTTGATATTTTGAATTTATAATAGATTTTTTAAAGCAAATTAGCAGATAAGTCTGATTTGCTTATATAGACTTGCTCTGACGAATGGACATTTATATTATACATGATCATACAATTTATTACAAAAGAAAGACAAAGGAATCTTTTTATATATTTAATTTAATGTTTTGTCTTAACTTGAACGTACTTTAATCTACATTCATCTTCGGATTTTATGAATAGAAAAGAAATCATTGTAAAATAAAAAATAGATTGTAAAATAAAATTAAAAATGTTGAAATGTATATCGTATATCAGCATTCTAAATATTTAATGTATATATAAAAAATATGTATTGTGATTCTTTTGGAGAAAACAAAATAAATACATTGTAATATGAATTTTTGTACTTATATCCAAGATTTTATTATCCAATATTTTATTATATATTTTATTTCATCACAGCGACTTACATTTGTATTATTTTTT